GTTACGTTAAGCCCCCGCTGATTGGTCCAAATTGACCAATACACACACACACACACTTAGTGCAGGCAGCTCTGCTGATTTCTGCTCCCTGCTGCAGGCTGAGAACAGACAGTTGGGATCGCGCGAAATTCTCTCTGCAGACCCATTCTCACAGCGTTTATCAACCTATAAACCTTTTTCTTACTCAATATCAAGCCACACTTAATGTTTTTATTTCGGCTGTGCCTTTGTGTGTGTTCAGGTTGAGTTTGGCTGTGTTTGGCTATGTATCGCTAAACAAGGAAATCACACCTCCACGGAGCTCAGCGCGATTCGTACCGACCAATCAGAGCACACTAGGCTCACAGGGGGGGGGGGGGGGGGAGCTGCAGCGAGCCGTTTAGTGGAGAAAGTGAATACTGCTGAATACACATACTTTACAGAGATGTGAAACCAATGTGAGTTTGGAAAATTGCACAGTATTTTTCTATTTTAGTATACCTCAACAATGGAATTATGATCAGTGGAAATGGCCATGACATGGGACCTTTAAGAGCAGCCTGTGGGATTCCCCTGCTTATTTTATAAATCCATTTGACATTGTGGAATCAAATCAGCAATTCCTTCCAAACACACTGAATCTGATCAATACCGTACCTTTCTGCTGAATGTTGATACTGGACTCCAAGAAGGATTCAGAGAAAACCACCGAGCCCAGGTCCCCCCCGCCCCACTGCAGGTCAGGGATGTCCTGGACAGTCATGGACGCCTTGGAAATAAAGTAGATTTAGTTAAGATACATTATATACACAATCATTTTCTTGATAGCAACAACTAATTGTTTTACTTCTATATAACTTACTGTTTTGACTAAATAACGGCTTTTTTCATCTGTCAGAGGAACAATCCTGAAAAAAGAAAACAGGCCGTTAAGAAATGAAATCATTTACTGTGTTAACAAAAAGGGTTTTTAGAAAAAGCATTCTTCTGATACTATATGAAAGGATGCATCAAAAAATATAAATGCTTGCAAAAACCAACAAGGACTAGTGAACACTCACCTTCCTTGGTTATTTACTGCTTGAATGCTGAATTCACATTTAGATCTAATAAAAGAAAACAGAATGATATACAGATTCAAACAATACGTCACTTCTCATCATGGCTCAGTCTCACACTGAATGTACTATGTACCTGAGATAACTGCGGTACTGATTTAAATTCATGGTGTCCAAAGTCAAAAGAAAAGTGTTCTCTGCAACATCCTTAGCCTGCAACGATAATAAAAGCGTAATAAAAAAACTTCACAGTTACAGTATAATGCTGAAAGATGAATGTTATAATAGGTGTTCTTTTTATCTCACCTTGCTAGTGCTGGAGGTACAGGAGAAGCATTTGATTCCTGACAGGACTGCTTGAACAGCAGCTGAATACATCTGTGACAAAAGTCTGTAAAAATACATTATTAAAATGATTAACAATGGCCAACCAATAGCTTACCGGATAAACAAATCACAAGATCCAAAGTGAATAACTTACAAGACTTCTGTTGTCTTTTGCTTTGTGTTTTGATTTCCTGAGGATGATATACAAGCAAGGGGACAAAATGATATATTAATAATACAAATAAGGGCTTCTCAAATTACATTTAAGTCCAAGCCCTCACTCCAAACATTTATCTTAACGCATAGTAGCATTCCCTACACCTAGACAGGGTTAATTGGTAAAGCTTTAAGACTTGGGCTAACAAACCTGCTTTCAAATGTGATGGACAATAATGTTATAAAAAACATAGTTATTTCACAAATTTGCAGTAAAGCCTCACCAAGGTATGGAGTGTGGGTGGTCCCAAAGAAATAGGTCCGGGAGCAGGCTATAGGCCCTTTGGGAGCCACACACTGCAGAACCTAATGGAGAAAAACGTGTTTATTTCAAAAAGATATAGTGATGGCAAGAGAGGATTTGTAAACACTGCTCTTAAACACCACCGATTGTACCGAACTTCTTCACCAGGTGGAGCTGTAGGCCGATTTCTATTTTTCGTTAAGCGCTTTTGTGATATATAAAATACGTTTCAATTTGAAATGCTGGACAGTTTTCACAGGGCAGGTCTTATACTCTACTTAGCTCTTTGCAGTTGCCTGGCCATTAGTAGGGATCCTATGGTGATGCAGCTACATCATACTGTTTTCCACTTCAGGCTGCTCACCATGTGTCTGGCTGTAGAACCCGGCGGTCCTGTGTTGCGGACTTGATGACTCTCTGAGGGAAAGTTAAATGAATAACTCTCCAAATCCTCTAAAGACGAGTGCTTCCCAAACAACACGAAGGGCTGCTGACTTTTACTGAAATATAGAAACATTTGATTAGGCAATGGAGTTTTTTCCACAAACTACAGATGAGTAAAATTACAATATTTAGATATTGTTGAGTAGGAAACAAAACCTTTTATCTGTGATGTTGCTTGAGATCAGTCCATGAGAGTAATAAGTACGGAATGACTGGGGATCAAGAGAAAAAAACGTTATGCAGACATGTACAAAAAGCTGACTGCAAGACATTGAACTATGTCATTTAAAAGTATACAGCTAAAGAATGAGAAGTAGTTTAAGCGGACATGTAATGGATCTATTTCCTTTGCTGGGTCCAGCTTTTTTTTTTGTAGGAAAATGACAACAAACGTACCTCTCCTGCCTGCGCTTCAGAAAGCTCCAAGATAGACAGATGGCTCTCCAGGTCCATGCTGGAGAAAAAGCCACTCCACTGCTTCTCAAAGTTAACCAGGTCCTAAAATACAACAAACAACACCAAGGTTAGAGCGCATATCGAACTGATGGTCATGTTCAAACCTTTACATTCAAAACAGAACTTATAGAACTTATGGACAGCCAAAAATATTGTTGTGCCTTTAAAACTAACTTAAGAGTTAATTAAATGCATCATTCATCAACTGACTGACAAACAAAACCATGTTCACTTTAAACAACATAATTAAAGAACTTCTGGACAAGAAAACATTCAACAAAATATTTTCAAAATTCAAACAGCAGAAGAAGAAGTAGCTCAAAATGACCTCTATGAGGAGATGATCAATGGACACTGGGTCGAGTCTGTTGTAAACCTGCCACAGCTTCTCACTCATGTCCATTATCTGCAA